GCTTTGTATCAAGTGCTAATGATTCTTGCCTGCTTGAGGGGAAAAAAAAAAAAAATCATTAAAATGTGAAACTGTTCAGCCAAAATCATCATGCCTTTTGAAATAAAGCTTTAATAGTGAGAAAAATAGGAGGGATTTCTGAAATCTCCTCCCACCCCCCCCACCCCCCTTTTTTTTTTTCTTTTCCAGGTAAAAATTGGCTGGCAGCTATCAGCAAATTTGAGACAGGGAAACTTTCAGAAGTATTTGCCTTCTAAACTGCTTCGTTGTCTGTAGTCTTCTTGGAACTAGATTTCTATTTGCTGACTGTGTAGGCATGTTGTTGGAAGGTTTTTACTGAAAATACAAGAAATAATATTTGAATTGCTTTTGGATTTCTTATAGGACTTTGTTTTATTTTTAAAGCCTCTGAGCTGGATGTGTATTTCATTCCCTTTCATTTTTTTTGTTTTTCTTCTGAATATCTTCCTTGTATCTGTCACAAAGTGGAATGCAAAATAATTAAGCAAGTAATTTCTGAGTCTCTGACTACAAAATAACACTCCCCCCAACATTCTCAGTGATTCCATTTTTAACTAAAGCTTTGACTTGTAGCAGAGACAATAACAAATTGTTTTAGTCTTCTCACAGTTCTAGGTTTGCATTATAACTTAAAAACCTGTCCTAATCTGCTGAAATTTTTTTATACTCCATGATGATACTATTCTCACTTAATTCCCAATGACACCTTAGTTCTTACATTGCTTAATGATTCCCTCCCCAGTGCTCGTTAAACTATTTCTCAACACTACAAAAGGAGCAGAAAATCTCCAGTCAAAACTTTTCAATGCTAGATTATCATGAAACAAATACTTTTAGGTATTTTGCCCTCCTTTGACATTTGAAACCAGACTACTGCCTTCCTACAGGGCTGCTTTCTGAGACTCTCAAACAGCTCGGCATTATACAGAGAAGTCTCAGCTTGGTTTTCTAAGCAACTTTTTCATACCATGCCACCCACACAAAAGAGTTTGGGGCTTTCCTCGCCTCTTCAGTCTTGATATACTTCCTTTTTTATTCCCGCATCTCCAGTCAGTGTGGCAATGTGTGGCCTGGAGGCTTGGCTTGTGACTCTTTGGATTTGCTCGATGCAATAAGCTGATATACAAACGCCTGGAAGGATTGTAAAGGTATGCTTGCTACACCTAGAAATTAAGGAGTTTTTGTGGGCTTGAGAAGTGGAAACTCAAGTCCAGGCTTGAATTTTAGGTCCTTCACTTTGCTGTGTGTGTTGTAGTGTTCCCATAAAGGGGAACGTTGTGTGTGTTTCCTAGCGTTCCCCAGGGGAAATACCAAAATTGTAGCTTCTTTGGAGTCAGAGATACAGCTGTGTCCAGGCATCGACACAACCTCTGCTAGTGTGAAAAACAGGGGTGCCCTCGTATCAGGCATATTCAGCCTGTGAAATGCTGCAGTATTATTATTCCTTGTGATGTTCAAGTATTTAATTTGCTGGAGTGGTGGGTGCGGCTGACAGGTTATACGTTATACGCGGCGTGGAAGGTCCCAGCAGTGCAGCCGGTCCTGGTCGGCAGAGCCCAGCGACGGCGGCAGGGAGCTGGCACCTTCGGCTAGTGGGTTAGCTCTTTGCAGGGCTAGGTCAGGGGGCACTCGTGGGCTCAGCCGGTAAAGATTTCTCTTTGAAACAGACACTGGATAGGTAGTTCTGGGCTGATGGTGAGACTCAAAAGGAAACTGTTTCACAGTGATGATCTTGGTTATGCTTTAAAATGTTTGTTCAGGAGAAAAAACGTCTATGAATTGAGAAAAAAAACACCACCAAAAAACAGAGAGAAACAATAAAAAGCTGTGTACAATACCAGCTGCCGTTAAAGGTTGAAGGTTTATTTTCAGAGCATCGGTTTTAGAAACATTGCTTCAAATAATTTCATCAGTCTAAAGAAAATAGCACCTTATACCTTTTTGTTCTGTTTTCAGAGTGGATTTTTATGGAAGAACAGGGCTGTTCTGAGTGTTGGACAGGTTAAGCCCTGTACTTTCAGAAGAGCTCTCTGAAAAGACACTGAGCATTGTGTGTTGCGGTTGTGTAGTGATACCACAGTCCTTGCTCTGTGATGAATAATTCAAATGAAAGTGGCTGGTGGGGCTACAAATGATCGGAACGGATTTTGTGAGTATACTGTATAATGGGGGGCAGCAGACAGTAATGGGCCTTTTCCAGCTTCGTGCCCTCCTTGGGACTGGGCTTAGGTGATGGAATTCTCATGAAATTTCCAGAATATAACAAATAATTCTCCAAAACCAAATAAGCATTCCCTATCCTGAGTGGAACTGTTAACTGGAAGTAAGGCTTGAACTCAAAGGAGGAAAAAGTGCTCCTATTTTTTTGTTTATTCTTAGTGGATAGCATTGAGAAGCGATGTACACAACAGTGGTCACTGGGAAGGCTACAAATAGCATGATCACTAGCAAGCTGCTAGTACTTAGGAAAAAGAGTCTTCTGTATCCAAACTTCCTTAGTTCCCACCTTAGAAATTTCATTGGGAATTTCACGTGGTCCTAAGCTTTGAGTGCATGTTATCGCTACACCACAGAAGAAGCAAGCACCCTTTTCCCTGCGTGGGAGAACTTTAATAGCTATGTCCAACGGGCAAACACACATTCTTCTGGCTAGTGGTCAAATAAAATTTGAAAGCCATTATACTGTTCAGTGTTTTTTACCGAATAGCTGATGCAGACAGCTGGATTGCTGGGAGCTGCCTCGGGATCGTCTGAGAGGTTAGCGAGCTTTTGGTTTGATCTTGGAACCATCTTCCTGTATAAATAAAGGGTAAGCATTAGTTAAGAATGATTACCTTAAAGTATTAGATGTTTTAAGATGTCATGTGCTTCTTCATTAGACGGCCTTTGAAAATTAAAATAAAGGTCATCAGCCCAACCCAGTTCTGCGGTTAATGTTTTTTTCTGGTTTGATTTTGATCTAGTTACTTACATCAGGCATTTATAATCTTATTGGGGGGCAGCCTATGAAATGTACATCAGGGCAAAACAATTCTGCACAGCACACTGCCTACTCGTGGCTTTGCACGTAACTGGTGCCTTGCAAATCGGCTTGGTTTGGGCCGCGCGGTGAGCGGAGGAGGTCCTGCCCGCAGGACAGTCTGTCTGTGCAGGTACCTATGGCACACGCTGGAGGGGCATTGCTTCCCCGAAAAGTCGGGCACATGGTGCGGTGACAACGGGAGCGTGAGCTGTGCGGGGAAGTGAGGGATCAGCTGCTGCACACGTCAGCAGATGGAGGGAGAAGGATGTGTTTGGAAAATAGGCAAGTGCTGCCAGTACATAGCCAAAAGCTACATTCACTTTGTTTTTACCTGTGTGCGTTTAAACTAGATAAGCTTTTTTTTATGCCGCCTTCTATCTCAGTGCAAATCATTACAGGTGAGTTATAACTGAAAATATGAGGCTTTAAAAACACTGAAGTTTTAGAGCTGCAGTGTGTTGATACTCCAGGATCTCCTCTTTCTCATATAAATTTGAAAGCACAGTAGTGCTCTGAGCTCAGTGCCTGCTTTCCAAATGATAAAATGTTTAAACTGTTATGTGTGTCCCCCCCCCTCCCCCAATCCTAGGTCCTCATTAAGCAGTAACTGTAAGAGCAGTAACTGCAGTAATCATTTCTCTTTGCACTGATCTAATCTGAAGCCACGAGCAGCTGCAATAGTTATGCTACGAAGGATTTTTCCCCCTTGGCATATATTGCACAGGCTGTCCCTTGATTAGTTTACAAGTACTTGAAGGCTATTGATTTTTGCTCTGTTTTATGAGAGTGCTCCTCTCTTTAAGAGTTTAATTTCTCAGGTTTGAATTTGAATGATCAGGTCGTGAAACAAAAGTATTTATGCATCTGATTACCTGTTTATCTGGTCAGGAAAGCTATACAATAACACAGAAATCCCTTTCTGACTCCTGAGCCGCTGGAGACCCCGTGCTTTGGGGTGTTCTCCTCCTCCTGCCAGATCACACACGCGAGGTGGCTGTAAACGTTAATAGTATTTCTTAAGGGGAAGTGTCATTGCGGCGTTGCTTACTGACATGCCAGAAACACACTGCATGTATGAAAATTACTGTTCTGTGGAAATAACCCCGGGTTTTCATTAGGCTGATTTGGGTGTGTTGCTAGGCAACTCAGGGTAACAAAGGGGTTGTATATATCCTTTAGGTAGTTACAGGTCCTTATAGAGATTTTCAGATAAGTAACATAGAGGTGAGAGAGGCTGATCAACTGTGACACGAGAAGTTTGCCCGGCAAACTTAACTTTCGTTAAGAGGAGTTTTTCAAGAAATAAATTGGATTAGACCCAGGGATGACGTATGCTGTTTGATTTCTTTTCCCCTTGCGCTCTGACGAGCTTTGTGTTTAGGCAGGCTTTTGTTTCTGTCTCCGAGTGCCTTTAAAAAAAATTGGGAGTGTGTCTCGGGGTGTCGAGGGCGATGTGCTTAGCTTGATTGGCTCGGTTCCCTTGCAAGTGCTTTGTGCTCTTCCCACTACCCTCAGGTCAGTTGCACAACATGCCCCTACCGTTTAAAAAGAAAAGAGAAAAAAAAAAAAAAAGAGAGAAATGCTGAGTAATGCCAGAGGTTTCTCAAATGGCTGATGCAAACCTGGAGAATTTGCATCATCATTCAGCTAGAGTAACTTGGTATGACAAGAGCTTAAATACAAGTCCACGCGGAAGCTGAGCTGGTTTCCAATGATAGGGCAGTACCAGCTCGCAGTGTGAAAGCGCAGGTGTTCCTGAGCGGCGCTCGGATCGCAGGAAAGGCTCAAATACACTTTAGGAGCTTGCTACCTGTGCGTAGGAGCAGCTGGAAAGATAAGAGGGGGCAGAGGAAGAGACTAAGTAGTTGGCTATACAGAGAGGAAAAAAAACCCCTTGAGTTTCTGCTGCAAACTTGTTTGCCTGTGCTTGCTGTTGGTGTGCTGGGGGCACTGTAGCATGTTTAGGAAAGCTGCTGTAACCACCGTCTCTAATGGAAGCTACTTGCAGGGGCAAGCTAATGGCAGGTTGCCCTCTATGGACAGCGGACAGCCAGCCCAGGAGGGAAAAGTTGTGCTGAAGAAGAAAGTGACTCTTTTGAGGGGAATATCCATCATAATTGGCACTATCATTGGAGCTGGCATCTTCATCTCTCCCAAAGGCATCCTGAAGAACACGGGCAGCGTGGGCATGTCCTTGACTGTCTGGACAGTGTGTGGCATTCTCTCGCTCTTTGGTAAGTCCCTTAAAAGTTTCTAATTGGTCCAGAGGGGCGGCTGGTGGATTATTGCTGCTATTTGTCTGATTTTGCCATTGGATAGTAAGGCACAGGCTGGAGCTTGAGGACCAATAGGGCTACAGAAGGGTTTTGCTGTGTGATAGGTTGTGCGGAGGGCACAGAGGTATGCAACCCCTGGCCCCCCGGCACCTGATCGGTAAAGATTGGAAGCATGAATTGTTGTTTCTTACGGGTCCCTAAAGGAACAGGAGAAGTAAACGTCCATTTTATGCCATACAATGTGCTGTATGTATAATGTTTTTCTTCTGGCTAGAGAGGTTTGCTTGTAAGGCCCCCGGCAGTCGGGGATGCGGGTCACTCTGCTCAGACACCGGCAAAATGCTTAGACAGCTCAACTTGATTCCCTAGAGGCTAGAGCAAAGTCTGAGAGTAATAATTCCCACTGGACGTAAGCTGTATTGGCATGAAAGGGAGAAAAGTAATAATAACACTAATAACCTCTCTTCCCGGTCTTGTATCACTGCTCTTTACTTTGTTCCTCACCCACGATGTTGTTTTGAAAGGTTGAGCTGCTAAAAACAGTGTGATGGAAACAAATTTGTAATGCGAGTTTTATTGCTGGCCTGCCTGTCGTGACAGTTTTTACTAATTTTGTGTATTTTTGAAGAGAATTAAATTCTGAAGAATGCCAGTTTATTTGTTCTGTACACAAAGCCCCCATTCAGAATGGAAAACCCCACCCTGGCCTCTGCAGGACAGAGGGTCCATTGACCTACTTAATGAGTTAATCTCAAAGAAGCTGAAGAACTAACATGAATATTTGCTTTATTTAAACCAGAAACGTCTTGTGTTCTGGCAGGAGGTAAAGAGGACAAACACGGACTAACACGTGTCTGCTTAATAGGTGGAACAGGCAAATGCCACCCTGTGTAAATTGGCTCTGAGCTTAAAAGAAACACGGACTGTTTACAGGCTGAGCCCACCCAAGCCAAACAGAGAGTGCAAGCAAGTTAGGAGCCGTTTTGGTCAAATGTTAAATGTCTTGGTACAATGCGCAGCATAATCTATTGTACAAATGTGGAAGTCCTGCCTATAAGCAAAAATCCTCTATAAAGCAAGACCTCAGATAAAATTTGTAACCCTGTCAGAAGACCTTGGTCTTTAGATTTAGTCAAAACAGAATTTGCTTAAGCATTACATTTTTGGCTTTAATTTTAATACAAGTAATGTTCTGGTTGTAAAGTAAAGGCTGTACAAAAAAACCCTCTCTTTTATCAGATAGATTTTCTAGGTCACTTTCCAGATCTCAAGATATGAAGAACTGTGTAACTTGGCCCAGCAAAATATATCTCTTTCTCTGAATGAACCTGTTACAGTTATTTTTTCATATTTTTTACGCTATGGGTGTTTTTAATTCTCTGCATGACTTAATTATAGTAAAATCACGTGCAAATATCACTTAAGGTCTTGCTGAGGCTGTGTGTATAACATGTATCGAAACACAATTTCATTTCGTCCTGAACCTCAACAGAAGAGGCTGGCAAGAGAAAACTCATCAATAGCTTTTTTTTTTTAATGTGGCTGTAAGAATTCCTTTAAGTACATTTTCAGGTAAGCTGAAGAATAGGAGATAAAAGCCGCCACGCTTTTTGCAAAGCCCCAAACAAAGCAAATGAACAAGGATGGAATCTGTCATAACGTGGTACAGCTTTAGTGGGATTGTACATGTTACGTGGTTTCGACAGCCGTAGTTTTCCTCTTAAAGTGCTGCAGCATAAAAGCATGCAGGGAAGAGGAGCCAGAATGAGTTCATATATGTTGCTGATCTGAACTCTGTGAGATGCGGTGGTTACAAACTTTAGTACTGTTTTCATCTGGTTTCTCAGACTCTTCCAAAAGGGCTGCCTTCTTTTATTGAATGTGGCACGCTTCTCTACTGATGTGGTCCACCGTGGAGCTGAGAATTCACTGGCTTTGTGACTGGGTGATGGCTCATTAAGCAACAGTAGCAGGTGGTGCATGGGTGAAGAAGGCTTCATGCAGGTCATCGTAGTTGCAGCGTGCTGTTGCCTGCTCAGTAATGGCAGAGGCCGCGCGTTGTGCCGGCGGCAGCCTCAGGGAGCTCCCTGAGAGCTGCTGCTTGCTGGGAATACCACTGGAACTTGCTCTGAAGGCGCCCGAACCACTTCTGCGTGGACTAATGCAGCAATGTGATCATGGTTTTATTTTAGTCAGTGTAAAAGTACCAAAGGATGAAATAAGCCTCCTGCTATGAAAACGTGAAGCGGCCTGTATTTAAGGCAATGCAGAAATGAACTGAGCTTTCATTGCGTTAGTAGTACACGACAACACTGTACCAGTGTTGAAAAGCCAGGGCTAAGCCATCCCCTGAATTTTGTATATAAGGTGTTGGGAGCACTATTGAGGAAAATTCTTAATCTACAATTCCTGCTTCCAAATTTTGGCCAGTCGATTGCTTTGCCCATGGCTGAGGAGGGGTAATACAATTTTCAGGGGTTCCTTCAGAGGCTGAGCCAGGCATCTCTAAGGCTGAAAGGAGCTGATCATCATTTGATTACAAGCAGATGTGTCAGAAGGCTTTCACTGAGCGGTGCAGTCAGGCTGCCTGGGGTAGCTGGCGTGACACAGGGTTTTGTTGTCCTTCTTCACGAGATACGGATGAGTAATGAAACATGTTGATAGCTAAGAGTTTCTTCAGTGGCTTTATGCATAAATGTAACTGGATATATGTACAGTTTGGTTAACTGCAAGACTAGCTGAATGAATTAAAACTTACAAAATTACTTGAAAAAAAAGATTAAAATATATCAAAAGTAGCTGTGATACCACAGCAGCTCCGCTGTTTAACCTATAAATGTTTTGAAAGGTATTTCTGCATATCTCTCGTGATGCCACAGTTTAATTCTCACAGGTGCCCTCTGCTATGCTGAACTAGGAACATGCATTAAGAAATCTGGTGGTCACTACACCTATATCCTGGAGGCCTTTGGCCCGTTACCTGCTTTTGTGAGAGTCTGGGTTGAATTACTCATCATTCGGTAAGTGTATCATGGCTTTTCTGTGTTTCTTTTCTGATGGCAATATGCTTTTCGGTCATAAAGAAAAATCTCCAATACATGAGGGGCAAAACAAATCAAATATATCTTGATCAATGAGCTGTGTTCTTTTAGTATGGTTGCTTCAGAGAATTTAACAACCCTATTTTGCTTGTCAGCATTGAAATGTTCAAGAAGATGTGTGCGTGTATGGAGAGAAACAAAGAATCGAAGAAAACTCCCTGCCACACAAATTTAGCTACTTGCTTTAATTTTTCTAAGCTTACTGTATCCATTAATGTCACTAATAATGCTAATAGCCATGTCTATATATAGGATAGTGGAAGAGGGAAGTCACTTTTACATTTTTTCCATCTTTGCATGAGCTTTTGGAGCAGTTGCTGTTGTCTGTGATACAGAAATAACTCCTGGTGAAGCTTTTGCACAGTAATTTTCAGATTTGGGGACACCATGTATTCTTTATATGGCAGTTTAGGTCCCCATTTTTTGTTTTTTGTGGCATGTTGGAGAACTTAACTCTTGATTACTATGAAGTGCACTAACCACATAAAGAAACATTAAGTCTTTATATGTCTAAAATGTCCAAGTATTATTTTCGTGTGTGAGTCTGTGACTCCTGCAGTCCTTGACGTTGTATAGGTGAATTATAATATGAAGATGTCAAATTATATAAAATAAATTTTCTCAACATAAAAGGATTTTTGTATCCAGCTCAAAGGTGGCCCTTTGAATTTTTTAATTATTTTTTTTTTTTTAACAGTATTGCTGAGACTGGAGAGCTTATTACATGTAGAACAGGCCAACTTATTTATGCAAAATGACTTTGGGAATGCTCCGTTCCTGCCTCAGGCTGGTTAGCACTCCTTTCCCCTCTCTTCCGCAATCAGCAAATTAGTCACAAAAACAGAAACCTGTTTTCAAATCACAACTATGTTTACATAATATTGACAAGTTCTAGCATGGACTGTTGAGTTTAAAAGCACTGACAGTGCTGAGTCATTATGAATCCATAAATTCTTATCTTGTTTCCGGAGGAAATCATTGTGTATGTCAGATGGTACCTTACATCCTCCCCACCCATATGTAACCTTTGAATTAACTGCATAATTTCCATCAAACGTGATGAAAGAGCCTTAACCTTATTTTTTCCAAAAGAGAAAAGCAGACAGAAGAAACAGACCTACGTTGTCACTGTGAATGTAGCACATCAGAGACTAAATAAAAGAGCGTAGTGTTAGAAATGCCTCTTAACCTGCACCTTACCAGGCATGGGGGACCTTACTACCCTAGGCACAAATACCCACAAGAAACCAGGCTTCATAAATTCCTCTCCTCACAAAATTATTATTTTTTTTACATATGACAGTGTCCCAGGAGTGTCATGAAAACACCCTTAGTCGTCGTCATCTGCCCCACACCCAGAAAATAATCATCTTGCATGGGAAGGAACATCAGTGGATTCTTTAATCATCAAATCTGAGAGGCAGCACGGGAGGCGTACTTGTTATAACTTGTGATGATCAGAGTGGCGCTGCTGAAACTCTGTGTAGAGTTTTATATCCGACTCCTGCATTGGAAAACTAATTGGCTGCTGCCATCAAAGAAGTTGAAACCTAATATGTATCTAGGGTTTTTTTCAGTAGATGAAGTTGCACACACACTTCTCAGCTAAGCCGTTTTTTCCTCTGAAAGATTGCAGGGTTATCACACCCACGGGCTGGTGGAGCAGCCGCAACCAAAATAAACGTTTCCTGCTCTTGTATATTTTTTCAGCAACTATTTTACAGTCTAGGGCACACTTAAACTCTGCCCACATACTGATTAAACTGTGCCAGCGTCATCTGCTGCTTAGATGTGCCTGACACTGCACTGCTCCTCATCCAGTACAAGTAGGAACTCTCTTTCTCCCTAAAAGTCAGATTGCAGGTATATTACGTACCTTTAAAAAAAAAAAAGCGCCAGTTTTTCAAGCAAGTGAAGATGACTGTGAATGCATTGGCTGTACAGCTTCATTATGGTGTTTGCTAAACACACGTTGGGTGAGAGTGCCGCTGCCAAGCGCCTGTCTCACCTGGGGTATGTGCTGGGGCAGGGTACCTGCTCCTTTCCTGGTGGCTTTTTGTGCTCCTTGTCCTTCAATGAAAGCTGCTAATGCGCTTTCTGTCCGCTCCTGGGCACACAGCAGTGTGCAGGGGGCTGCCAGTCCCTCTTTAGGATTGCAGGTGAAAGGAATTGGCTGCAGTCAATTCCCCATTCCTTCAGCTTCTACTTCCATTGATCGGCTACACTGCCAGCAACATGCCCCCCAAACATGGGAATATGAGAGAGACAGCTATTTATTAGAGGTGTAATTTAGGAGCTATGTTTTTAAAAAACATAATGGTGTGGATAACAACAACTGCCTCTTTTAAAAGACCTTTCTTAAAATGAGAGGGAAAAATCTAAGTTCTGGAAAAAGGAGCTGGGACTGAGGAAGAAAGTCTGGGAAGGCACAAAGATCTGATCTTTCATCTGATCTAGGACACTTCAAACTACTTCTGGCAGGCTGGAGTGTTTAAAAGCCGGAAGCTTGGTGATGATCTTATGTAAACTAGAAATATTGCATGGAGGTAAAGTCCGTAAATGTCTGTGTAAATCCAGCGCAGGGGACATTTGGTTCCTGAGCGAAGGCAAAAGTTGCAAAGCCAGTTGTTGGCTGGTGAAAGGAACAGCCCTCGTGTGTGGGGGACGCACAAGCAGCAGCCCTCGCTTGTCCATGCAGAAACTTTCCGAGGAAGATACTTCTGTTCTTTGCTGCTCTGCAGCTTGGTCCAACGCAATGTGTGACATTTTGGTTGAGTCATAATGCTAAGAAAGTGGGTTTTGTTTCAAGGGTGAAAGTCTCTTGTGGAAAATTCCTTTATCATTCAATGGAGAATAACAACAACAGCTTACACTGTTCCATAGCTTTTTTAGCAACTATATTTTTATTAAAATTCTGTAAGATGAGGCATTATTTTATTATATGCTATAGATTTTTTTCACAATAAATTTGCATGAGCTCTTGTTTAACTCAAAAATCCTTTGAGGCAGAATCATACGTCCTTTTGTCCTTCTTGTGTGTGAGTGTGATGAAGCACAGATGCCACCAGCTGCCCTAAGAAGGGTGAAAGTGTCCTCCCAAACCAAACGTGAGCAGAGCACTGGAACTGTAATGTGCAGACAGCATCTGATCCCAGGCACAGGGCAATTTGCTGCTAATGTGTGTCAGTGCTAAGGCTTCTGGCAAACATTTAGCTTGTCTCAAAGAGAAAGGCTGTATGAGTATTATGAGTATTTCAAATTTGTACACGCAACAACTGCATGCATGCCTTTGCGTTTCTGTCTTTCATGGTAGGTGCTTTCTGTACTTTGAGGATTTTTACTCTCATTTGCAGTGCTAGGAAATTGTCAGTCAATAAAAGAAACAAGTTCTGTTTGGATTTTAGGAAATCCCATTTTAATTCACTTTTTGCATTGTCTTAGATTTTAATAACAGACTTAGGTAGGTTTTGGATACTTAGTAAAGCAGAATTCGCAACTCGATTGAAATTAATTTGCATTTTTCTCTGAGGGGTGAGATATACCTGGCCACTAAAATTCAGTCCCCAACTACTACTACTCAAGGTAAACTAATTCTGGCCATGTTCACTTCAAGCGAGTGAACGAAGATTTCTGCTGGTACCTTTCTGTTCTGTTTACATCTGCTTCACAACATGGAAGTTGTAAAAGCAATCCTGGTAAGAGGTGTTCCTGTCAAGATCAGAACCACTGAGCAAAGCTAAAACTACTTGTGATTTTCTGCTACATTCAGAAACCATGGTGCCTGGTGGCATAGCTACAAACAGGCACCAAAATTAAGTATGGTTAACAGTTCTGTGGTAGTAAAGTTACAGCATGATCCCATAAGAATATTATCTATGTACTATTGCAGATTAATTTTGTGATTTTTGTTGTTGTTTTTACTCTAGCCCTGCTGCCACAGCAGTGATATCGTTGGCATTTGGACGTTACATTTTGGAACCTTTCTTTATGCAGTGTGAAATCCCAGAACTTGCGATTAAACTTATTACAGCTGTTGGCATCAGTAAGTATCCAATTTTAGGTTTCAGGGAAGGCTAAAGATGATGTAAATTGGAAAAAAAAAAAAAGTAATCGCACACTGAACAGGTAGTCATTTGATGTGAATCATTACGAAATGACTGTGCATCCAATGCCAAGGGCATCAGCGTGACTTTTTGCCTGGGTATGTGTGTTTGTGAACATACGCAGTAGTAAAAAGAATAGCAGACTTTATTAATGGCAGGGAAAATCTATTGCCAAGGCTGATTCTGTTGCCACTTGAATTAATAGCAGAACTCTCATTACTTTTGTGGAAGCAATTTCAGTCCCTAAGAGATGGTGAGCCAGCGCCAGAGATATGGAAGAATGATTACCTGATTTTAAGTGCTTTGCTCTACCTCTGTTTTAGGAGGCAATCGAGTGCCAAGTATGATGCCATGAAGAAATGTAGTTCTCTTGAGTGGAGCACAGGCAACATGAGATCATCTTCCCTAGTCCCGCTCTGTCCTTCATAGCAATAAAACTTATTGAGGCACTTGCGGTTCAGGAAGCAGGAACCCAGCCGATGACTTTGGGAGCAGGGTGTACGGCTCGGTGAAAACACGCGTCTGTTACCAGCAGCTTGCCCTACTCTTGCGCTTGCGGTTCAGGAAGCAGGAACCCAGCTGATGACTTTGGGAGCAGGGTGTATGGCTCGGTGAAAACACACGTCTGTTACCAGCAGCTTGCCCTACTCTTGCTAACTTTGCAATTAGCGTGAAAGGGACCATGTACGGCTACAGAGAACCGATAATTGCCAGTGGAAGGAGGGAGGCTACTCTGTGAACAGGAGCTTTACAGGGCCGGTGTGGGAGGCTGCATGGAATGGGAAGGCACAAATCCTGATGCGAGTGGGACTCTGGAGCTGTGTGCTTGCAGCACTAGAGGCTTGTTTCCAGCTCTGTCTGGTCACTGGTGATGATGCTTCTTGCACACCTGCGCACACATTGGCATTCAGCTGTGCTGGGAGGAGAGTGCAGAGTACACTTGAGTAATTAGTAACAGATTGTTCCTTTCAATTTGGTCGGTGCATGTATCAGAAACAAAAGGACCAGACAAAGGAATTAAGACATGCAAAATGGTCAAAGGCACACAGGAGACCTCTTCAGTTTTGCACAATAATAGGTTCAGATGACTTTTTCTTTCTTTGGGGTAGGGAGTTCAATTGACATTGAAATCTGCAGTCTCCAGGTTACTGTGGCTTTTTGTAGGAGCTCTCTTGATAAGAGTTCCCTTCTGCCAGGAGTGTTAAAAAAATCAGTATGCGACTGCATTTCTTTCTAACTTAATTATGCACAAACTATAGGTTTCATAGGAATAATTGAATTAAGGGCTTGAATTTTGAGGTCAATGACTTTTTATAGCTACATCTGTCTAAAATATTTCAGTGCAAGATAAGGGTGAAACAGATGTTCGGTAACTTCAAGGTCACTGAGACAGAAGGAATGTTAAGTAGGGACTCCATCAAAGCATTTTGTTAAGTGCATGTGATTCAAGCACAATAAGTGAACAATTTGAAATAGGTTTTTATTGCTTTTAATTTAATTTAAAATCTGTGTGATAATCCAGGGCTTCGCGAAGTAATTAAACAAAGAAGTAGCATTGCAGGGGGGGTGGAGTTATGTTGAAATAATTACAGCCTGAAGGGGGAGAGGAGTTCACAGCAGACTGCTCCTATGGTGAGCGCGGGTCTGCAGAGCGCAGGTGGGATGAGCTGTCTTTTCACCGAAAGAAGGGATTCTTGTAGAAAGTTTGTAATGGGACGATGCTGAGGAAAACAGTGACGTGTCAGGCTTTCTCTTTGTTCTTTGCAGTATGGTCTACGGTTGAGTTTCATTTGTAGTAGTTTTTGATCATATGCTACACTTAAGCTCAGGGATTCCAGAATGGATGACTGTTATTCTTGTATGGTAAGAATTAGCTGTTGTGGTGGTAATTGTGATGAATGTTTTGTATTGTGCGTGTAGGCAGAGTGATAGGTAAGATTAAGGTGGTGTTGAGCTGAACAGACACATCGGAGCCCTGAAGATCTTATAATCCAATTTAATGGTGCCAAAGGTAGTGTTTGCTTCTACTGAAAATTTTAAGTTAATCAGAAAGTGAACTGACGTGCCTTTTGTCTTCTTATCCACTCCTGGTCCCTTCTCCCTCCTGTGCCTGATGACAGAGCACTCGCTGCGTATCTATCTTTATTGCACAGGGGAAAAGGTAGTGGGAAGCACCATTAAACTCTCCTTGGGAGAGACTTTGTTCTGTAGTTTTACCTTGACGTTTCTGATCATACTAGAAAGGGCAGGAAGAGATTTTGAAAAATCTCCAGGTGATCCCCTGCCCCCAAACACAATCAGTGTGTCTGAACAATTTCTGACAGATGTTTGTCTAAACTGGTCTTAAAACCTGTAGTGAGGGAGTTTCTAAAGCCTCACCTAATACTGTAGCCCAGTTTTTTCTATCCTTGTCACAAGACAGCTTTTCTCATATTTTTTTTTTTCCACCTAAACCTCCTTTTCTTCAATTTAAGCCTATAACTAGAAGGTTGCCAGAGATGGATGCAACCAGGATTATGATCCAGCTGCAAACAAGTACTTCTTGTAGAGGGGCTACAGCCCATTCTACTCCCCACCATTCCACCTCAGTGCCTCTGCGGTGGAAAAGGAATGATGGTGCTGCAGAGATGCAGATCAGATGAGAGCTAAAATGGAACTACTGGAGGTGGTGAACTTAAAAAACCCCCCTCATTCTTGGTTTATTATTTATAGGAAAAAAGCATGTGCTAGGCACAAAATTCCCCTTGAAATCACATCTGTTCTGAGCAATTTTGAACAATCGTTAGAAGCAAATTTTCTGTTCCACAATACGGCACTTTCATTTTTATTTATTTTCTTTTTTAAAAATAAAACCAACCAACCGAAAAGTCCAAACATTTCAGTGGTTCAGTAGAGAGAAGGATGCTTGTGTTGGAGGTTCTCTTCAGATACCCCAGCTTTCTGAATCTCCAAAGCAAAGGCTGCCTGTTCTTTTCAAACTTAGAAATCACTTTAATTCACTTGTTGTTTCTTAAACAAATCTCCACAAGGAGAAAAACCTAGGCAAATACAGGATATGCATATGGCAGTCTATCTGTCAGTCTGCCATAAACCTTTTCTAAACTCAGTCAATTTAAGTGTACCTGAGAGAGGAGCAGACATCTTAAAGATATCTAATTACTATTACAATTTTTATGAAAATAAGTGACCAGGTAGAGGAGAAAGAATTTGGGTATGTCCCAGCATAGGAAAGGACAGCTGAAGAAAATGCTGACAGGAGAGGAGGCCTTCTAAATGCCCAACTTTGCTTGAGTTGGACACAAAAGCCCCAGGACACAAAGCAGAAGGGATGCCGTCTGCCTTCTGATGCTGAAGACTGTTTTTAGGAGAAAGAGTTAAAAATTAATTTCTCTAAGTGAAAGCTGGTAGACTCCTCCATATTTATTGTTTTTTCCAATGAAGAAACGTCCTATCACCATTGCACACCACCCCGCCCCCCAAAATTCATATATTGCTTTATTTGTGTCTTTTAATCCTTCTCCTAATGGTAAGCTTAAATATATTGGTAACAGGAAGGGATAAATTATTTTGTGCAAATGTAATGAACTGTACTATCAATATGTAACCTGAATAGATATGCAATCTTAACCGAGCCTTTTCTAATCTTTTTCACTTGGCCTCCATATCAGAAAGCAGATAAACAGGTTTCAGCTATTAAAAACTGTGACACTGAAAGCAGGTTACCAACTTGCACATGTTTTTAAAGTTTTTAGACTTATTCATGCGTATTTTGGGCATTTTACGCTGCAACAATGTATAATTTTCCCCTTCTTTTGGAGATCTGCCAAAAAACCCTCAAATACCCCAAACTATGGCTGTTAGAGGCGGTATTATGCTTCAAAGCCAAGGTCAGCTGTACAGATCTATCGGTGCTTGCTGGCAAATACTCCAACCCAAATCTTTATTGGCATAAATGTCATGTGTATGTGAGTCTATAGTTAGTTGCTGGTTTTTTGGTGTTTTTTTTTCCATGATGGTAGATGTTACAGCCCTCACTCTCTACCACTGACAGTTTTCAGATAAACAGTTTAAGTTAAGACTTCACTTGGCTTGCAGGGGTAGCAAAAACTGCTCTGATGGGTGCTTTTGTGCCTCCTGTGACTTTGTTTTAATTGACGCATTGAGATCTGCAAATGGAGGCTATTTTTTGCTTTGTGTGAATGCCTGGACCCTAAAAGCCTGACAAGTTCAGGGAGGGCAGTTTCCTTGATTTCCTGCTGAGGCAATGGTACATATTTTCTTGAAAAGTGGCCTGGGATGTAATGCTTACTGCTACTTCTCCTATTAGATTTCATTATCCACATCAGCTGTGGCTGTGTGAAGGAAAGAGATTGCGAAAAGCGACACGATCGACGTTACTGTTGTGTTTGGCTGCTCACGAACCCCATTTTGTTCTCCCTCCATAGTCCCCTCAGTTAGGATTCATCTCACTTTTAGTTAGGTGTTTAGTTGAAGGTATTTGTCTATGCTCCCCGCAGAGTTAGTGGAGAAAGAGGGAGAGAGACATTTCCTGAAGGCAGCTCATCTCATCTGAGGCACGCATCTGAAAACGGTCTTATTATTCGTCCTCTGAAGGTAACTGTCTTTTCATCGAGGATGCAGCCACGCTAGATGCCTGACTTTTAGTTGGCAAAGTCAGAGATGAGTCCTCCTTTCACTGTCCTTTTGTCTGGGGAGTTGCTGCTTCCTTCAGATCTTTACTGTGATCCTGTATCAAAGCGTCTGCAATCAGTTTCTTGAAGTATCTCCATAAGGCCCTATTCATAGAAGAGAGGTGTTGAATAATGACCATAGTCCCAAGATATAATTTCCTTCTTCAATCCTGGCACACTTGTCATATTCTTTTCCTGCTCTTTGGCAGCTATCTTCACAACTCCTCTTCTCCGTTGCCTTTCACTATCCAGTTGCTGACACAACCTGAACCAGTCACAGAGCTCTGCAAGGGACTTACTCTTGTAAAGGACCATCAAAACTAACGGCACGTGCACTGGACTGACTGCGGGTGTAGCATCTCTTCAGCTTCCCGATCAAATGAAGGTCCTTGCGGTGTCCGTTTTGCTTTTGCTATTTGATTAGAAAGCCTCAGATTAAACATCTCTCTGACTTGAACTCTAGGTGGAGAGGGAGAAGGTTTTAACACAAACTTTGTCTGCATGTCTTTCATGTCTTCATGAAAATACCAGTCTGCATTTTTTTCCTCTCAAGCCAGTGTAGCTCTTATTCAGATTTGGGGCTTGTGATTTGGGTGTGCCTGGCCAGCAAGGAAGGTTACGTGCTTCCATGTGAGTTGACATTAGCGTTTGTACTAGTTTGCCATCCATATGTGTATCAGGAAGGTGAAACTGATGCATTAGAAGACCTCGAGGAGGATTTTCTGCAGGGAGGATGCTCACGTTAGCTATTCTGACCTGCGTAAGGTAACAGACCGTTGCTGCGGTCAGCTTGAACTCTGAATAAGCTGGATGCCAAATTGCAGACACTTTCTTACACATAAAACTGTTCCTTGGTATTTTGTTGTGGCCTGATCCCTGCCTGGGCTTTGTCTTCTAGGAAAGAAAAGTATGATATCCTCAGCTTTCTAGGAAACTTGAAATAAGCCAGTGCTTGTTTATGGTGCTGCATTTTCTTCATAACTTAAACACTGTTGGTCAAATGAATATTTTAAATATTTTGCTTAAATGACAGTTGTTAATCTTCCTGGTAATCAAGCCCTAGGAAAAGAGGAGGAGCCTCAATCAGCACTAATGTTCAGCAGCAACCTAAAGGGATCTTTCAACATTTAAATAAGTGAAGATATGTCAGGGTAATATTGGGACAATAGAGTAGTGAATCAGGCCCTGGGATTTTCTGTTTCCTGCCGAGTGTAGGTATACGTGGAAGTAATAAAGCAAAAAATAAGTATTTGGATCTCAAGTGATACTTCACAGAAGTCTAGGTGATTTCTTTGTGACTTAGAAAAGAATGCCTCAATTCTGAAATATGTCGAAATACAGGGCTGGAAAACCGTGTTGACCTTTAAGGTCTTTTTTCTGGTGAAAAATTCACATTAAATGATGATGTGAGTTTATGTTGACTTTGGTAAATCGTTCATTTGAGAGTGAGGCCCTCTTTGCCTTAAATAAAAATTCCAGAAATTACTGTGGGTGAGAAAGTTTAATATGATTATTAATTGTTTTTTTTTTTTTCTGAAAATGCAAACCTCTGCTCAAACTGGCACTGATACAGAAATCTGGAGTGACAAGGGTTGGGCAATTAATTTCTTTCATCCAAGGCAGGGTCCTGCCAGCCCATGGTCTACCAACAGCTGACGATTCGGGGTAAAGGGAGCTGTAATTTGGTGCGGAGGGAGCCAGGCAGAGAACGGAGAGATGGATGGGCCGCGCAGTGGGTCAGACAGGGGCTCAGCTCAAGCGTTTTGTGCGGCGTCTAGAAGGGGAGTGCGAGAAGTGGGAGGGCAGCAGCTGAGGAAGGTTATCGGGGTGTATTTCCTTTAATGCATCAGGATCTATTTTGTGTGTGGCCTTTCTGCTGGCAAAGAGTTTTGAGGCAATTTCAGTGGCATGAGTATTTTTTTCTGACTTTTCTTTTTCTCCTTGCAGCGCTGGTGATGGTCCTGAATAGCACGAGTGTCAGCTGGAGTGCCCGCATTCAGATTTTCCTTACGTTTTGCAAGCTTGTAGCAATTCTGATAATTATAGTCCCTGGAGTTATCCAGCTAATTAAAGGTATGAAATGAAAAGTAAATGCTTTTAAAGTGCTTTTATCTTTACCCTCCCCAGTCTTTCTCCACCTGCCTCCACCAAATAATGCTTATAGCAGCAAAATCTCTTAATTAGTCTGTGCTTGTTTAACTGAGGCTCTGTACTGTCATGTAATTGATTAGAAGTGGAACTACACTGGGATGAACTGGTATTTCCTTCAGCATGCCAATGAGTCCATTCAGATCAGACTTGGTTTTCAAATGAGCGACAGGATTGCTCTTCTCTGTAATTTGCCTTTGGCGTGAACTTTGTGAAAGGGGCAGAATGGGTTTTAATGACAGATGGGCAAACCCTCCCCAAAGCACATGCCCAGTCCAGGCAGAATACGTCTCCTTTAGCTGGGCTAGTGCCTCATCTGGTTTGGTACTGGGTATGTGATGGTGAAGGGGGCTCAGAATTGGGGAGATTTGTGAAAGAAACAGTATCATGGATGCTGGTCTACTACTTTGGTGGCGTAAATGGTGAAGTTAAAGGTGCTGTACTGGCGAGAGAAACTGTAGTTAGCCATCGCTTTCGTGGGCTTTCCTACCTGTGAGTACTGGATGCTCATGTTGCATGCATGCTTTACTTCTTCCAAGTGAAAACCAAAAGCATACAGCTAAAGGCAGCAGTCTGGGGCTAACCCAAGCGTAGGAAGGGAAAGCAGAAGTGTTTGGAGGGCCAGAATTACTCTACAGACTTTATCAATGTTGCTGCATAAGCAAGGAGTGTGAAAACACACCTTTGTTCTCCCCAGCAGCACCCAGCACAGACACGGCTGCACAGGCCTTTCCTTGGCTCTCTGGAAGTCGTTTGGGTAAAGCCGTGCTGGCGGAGAAACTCTTTTCACTGCCATATGCTCAGCTACCTGAAGAGGCTTTTCCATTACAGCTCTATCAGCAGCGGGTGTGAGATGGTGACAAGCCGCGGCTCGCTCTCGTTACAATAACGCTAGACAATAACTACACAAAGCACAAGGAGCCATTCAGCACCGAGGGTCAGAAAGGAGAGCACTTTTTAATGAATTGGTGGCAGATTTTATCTAACAAAAATTATCACAGTTGTTGGCTTTGTCCCTGTGGATGCTCTTTTATGATGCTTCACAAAGCCTCCCATCGCAGCCAACAGCAGAGCCTTAGGCTCTGCGGTGAGCTCCATTTCTCAGGGACAGGCGGCTCTCTGTGGTTAGCAACAGATTCCGAAATAAAAGTTTTCCTCTGTAGCGCTCTGCTGATTCACTATTTCTGTTTTCATGTTTTTCACTTCCTTTCTGGCAGTTGCAATGCCTCTTCCCTCACCTCCTTTCATGTGCAAAACTTCTCTCTGTTCCCGTCTGCCCTATTTTTGCTAGACCTTTGGAGCAGGCCAGACCCAGGTTTGGATGGGGTCTGCTGCCCTTCAGTAGCTCAGATAGTATCCCTGGTTCCCCACTGGGACCTTCCTCTGGCCACAGTGGGAATTTTGACTGAGGGTACGGTAAAGGGTAGAGGGTTTGACCCATTGCTAATTTTAGTCTGAATGAATTCTCCTTCTTCCTGCTCTTTTTCTCTGGAGGATCATTGCTTCTCAGGAGATTTGGGATATTGTAGGGAAGGTCTTACAAACCATAGAGCACCTCGTAAATCAATAAGAGCATAAGACAACTCTTATGTGTTTGCATTTACAGATACATAATTCTTACTTAGGGTAATATTAATATAGTACTGGCTATAATGTGGTAGGGAGTTCCTAAATTTTTCAGTGGTGGAAATGTTTAAGATACTGGGTTTGTTTACTTTAAAAATGTTGCTCGAGAGTGAAATGCTAGCAATGTTCCTTCTGATTAAAATGTTCAACAAGTGAAATTTTCCACAACCATAACTACAGACCTCATTCTGCTCTTTCATGTTGATGAGTAAGTCACTGCCAGAGATGACAGTGCAGTGAGTGTCGTCAAGCTCCGAATGCTTTGAAAAAAACCCTAATAGATCAAATTCTGCTATTGCATGACTAGGGACGCCACGAAACCTTTTACAATTGTTGGCAGATTACGGCTGCGAGGGTTGGGTCAGAAATGAAGGTCAGGGGCAGAACTTGGAGTGAACTGCTAGGTGATTAAATGTTCCATGGTGTGATATATTTATTTGTTTTAAAGTAGTAGGTGACCAAAGAACTTATTTTTCAATATTGTTTTTGTTGATGTTGCAGGAGAAACGCAGCACTTTAAAAATGCCTTTGCGGGGAATGATGCCAGTGTTATGGGATTACCACTTGCTTTCTATTCAGGAATGTATGCCTATTCAGGCTGGTAAGTTGTTGAAACCTATAAGTATTTGTCCTGAAAACCAATGTTAATATGCACGAACAGATATTTATTTATATGACAAAATGAGTAGCACGGTCTACATCTTTTGCCAAACTACGTCATGTAGTAAGGGTAGACCTCACCACTGTTCTGTATGCTCAGTAGTTATTCTGCAAGCAGCTCTACAAAGGAGAGATTTTTCTTCTGCAGTGTAAAATAGGTAAAAATGCTCTGGACGCTAAAAGAATCAGACTTTTATTTCTATTCTTAAGATTGGAAATAAAGGCAACAAGAAAGGAATGTTCTTAAATTTTCATTAGATGAAAAACAAATCTATGAACTGTTGCAAATTTGTGTGGACATCAGCCTTTGCTTTGTAAAAGCAGTATTTGAAGAATAAGAAGCGAACCACAATAACATCAGTGTAGACCACAAAACAAGGTAAAAACCTAGATTCTTGTGCCTCTTGCTCTGAGAGAATTGGACCTCACTTGACAAGAATTGCAATTGGCTTCCATAGAAGTCAAGTCCTATTGCCTGTGAGCAAAGGTATGAGAATCTGCCTTGAAGTATCCTGCTCAGAACTTTTTTTCAAGTTCTTTCCCTCTTGCCCACCAAAGTACACAGCAGCCGTTTTGAAAGGTGCTGCCGCTCTTCGAATCTGCCGTACGATTTATTCCTGCTTGGTGAGGGCTCCACGTTGCACAGCGTCAACGTGCTTTCGCAGCAGCAGTGAGGGGGGGGAAAAAAGGGCTACAATGCACAGAGTGGGCTTATATTGAGATAGCTTTGTCTGCAGGTCTTCCCTTTCTTTCCATAGCCTCACAGCCAGCCAAGTTCTTTACCTCGCACAAAAGACGAGGGCTGAAAGATAAGGGGTTTATTTATTTAATTCGGAGGGACAATGGGCCGAGCATTTGAGTTCTCTGCCTGTCTGTAACTCCCTGGTTGCAGGAGCATTATAAACATGCACACTGAAGTACTGAACAGAACTTTTATATTAAATGGTGTGTGGGGGGAAACCCGAGAGAGTCCAAAGGCTTTATCTGTGATAGATATATATAAGAAAGAGTCTGGCATTTTGAAGCCTCAAAGAAATTGAACTCATTATGCGGACAGTCTCTACCTTCTTCCCTCTCCCTCTCATGTAACCGCTTCTGTCTCTCATATCCATACATGTGATGGTTTCTCACTTTAAAAATATTAACCTGACTGTACATTTTTGTATGAAGGCAATTTAAAAAGCTCTTTAATATTACTCATCACTGAGGCAGAGTTTGTTTACTGTAAAATGCCACATCAAAAATACTGTTATTCTGTTGCTTCTCTCCCATTTCTTTCCATTTTCCACCTAATGTTCCAAACCCCTACAATAAAAATCATCTCTGTTTTTCTTTTACATCTTCTGACTTTTATTCCAAGGTTGTTATTTGCCACTTCTAAAAGAAATTAGCAGGAAAAGACCTAATTTGGCTAGTGGTTCTTCCCAGCTGCCTATTTGTCTTTGTCACTAGCTCAAATTGATTGCCTCAGAGCACAGAAGAGCAGACCATTAAGTGGAGTGTCAATACCCTTGCACTATCAGTTTCACGGGGCTAAGTCAATCCAATAAGCTGACTATGAAGGAGTGTTGCAGGTGGTGGTGGTGTGTTCCAGGATGTAGGCAGAATTTTATGCATAGCCTATGAGACTATTAACTTTTAATGATACAGCTTTTAGAACAAGGCAAAGGTAATATCTCTTGTATGTGTGGGTACATCCTGCGAAGAGCAAGCGTAGCCTGTTGGGTTTATAAAATGATGGGTGAAAAAGGACAAGTAGAGAAAAGAATGCAAGGAAGCGTGTCTTTGCATCAGTAAAAGGACTGATGCAGGGCTGTCAATTACTTCTGTCTAGAAGCAGGACTGAGAGCAGAAAGTAGCTGAACCTCTTACTGATCAGAAGCCATCTCTCCTTTGAACTATCCCAACCTTTTCTTTGTGTTCTGTGCACTAGCAAGTTTAGAAACGAGTACTGAGGTGGTCATATAGCATGGCAAATCTAGCTTTACAGAATTTCGTGCTTGGTCACACAATCACATCTTTTAAAACCCTGAGCCAGCGCTAACTCGTTCTGCTAACCCAGATCTGGTCCAAGACTTATGATGGAGAAAAGTTCCCAGACTTTCTGCCAGATCAGGTACCGTTTGTTTAGTCACTGTAGCACTGTTGGGTCAGATATCATTTGTCTTCCTGTATAAAAGCAGAAAGCCAGCATAAGCGCTGTATTGACTGCTCTGTTTAATTAGCCAGGATGTGACTTTGTGCCCGTATCTGAGCCAGGCACGTCTGCGTGATCCAGCGACGCACAGACCTAGTGCTAATAAATGCAGAACAGAGAGGGTTCAGTGACCTTGAGGCTTACGGTTGTTTTGTATGCAGGGCTGCGCCTGGTGAGTAGATCCTATGAATTCCCACATGTAGCGGTCTCCTGCATGCTGCTGGAATATACCCAGAATACTGGAGGTTGTGCAAGAGCACGCAGGATTAGCAGCCTGGGTTCGTGATCGTATATGACACGCTAGTGTCAAAATCCTGGTTTTAAGAGGGTTTTTTTGAGGCTTCATTTATTTTTATTGTTTAGAAGTCCTTGCTGTGAGTACCCTGATGAGAATTTTTGCTAATATAACCTGAAATTGTAAAAGGCTACAGCCACAAATGGAATATGAGGCTTGAGTGTGTGTGTGTGTTTGTGTATAGGATTAGGGTAAACTGTAATTTGCCTAGTATGCCAGGGAAAAAAATATTAATTTAATTCCACACTGTCATTATATAGCTTTTGTCTTTTTTTCTACTTTGCTGTCTTTTCAGAGAATTCCCTTCCTGAGCGTGGGGATGAGGGAAGGTTAAATCTCACACTCTCCTTAATCCAAACATGGGTCTGCAAAGCCTACTATAATTAACAGCAGTGCTTGACTAAAAGCATCTTCTTGATTATTTGGGAAAGAAATACAGAATCAAAATCTACCAAGCTCTTATAATACATTTTGTAACTTTTTTCTAGGTTTTACCTCAATTTTGTTACTGAAGAAGTGGAAAACCCTGAAAAGTATGTACCTAATGTTTTTCTTGACATTTGAAAAATGGTCGTAAAATTTAAAATGCTATAAAAGCAGTGATCTTCAGAAATTCTGCATGCTGGTCAAGTTGCTTGCTTTCCAGCAGATCTGGTATCTATTTGAATTGCAACTGCTTGAAGATTTGCTATTTTTGGCCTGTCGTGACCTTGTTATGTATTCTGCTTTTATGTGCACAGAAAGCAGAAAACTAAGTAGATCTCCAGGGCTCTGATTCTCCCCCTCAGGATACAAGTCACTATCAGTGCCTCCTTTCAGTGGAAGTTACTGGTATCCTGTCAGGGAAATCTTGCCCAAGAAACTTATCTGCTGCAATATTTGGCAGTTTTGCTATGTTTAAATATTAATCAAATACTTAGTTCTACTTGTTTTAGATGTCTCCGAGTTGCAGGTTCTTGAATACACATAGCACAGCATCCCATCCAATTAAGCCGAACAGGGGATATTTGTGGGAGTCTGTTTCAAACCAGAGATGAATAGTCTCACAGCGCCTGTAAAAGCTATCCTGTTAGGGAGAGTTTGATTTGGCAGATCTATTTTGGTAGATATGTTTTGGTACATGCAGCCAGTAATAAAACAATATTAACTTTCTCTAAAAATTAAAGAAAAAATGCCTTGTCAGATCAAGTTGTGTTCTTTGAGGATATTAACAATTTGCTTGGTTAAAAAATTAATGGATAGATATAATTTTCTTAAGTTTTTAAAACAAGATACCTGGCTGAGTACCAAATAGCTTACTGTTTAAAAAGGACCCCCAGCACTGTACACTCAAAAAATATGAAGCTACATATCTGAGATATGTAGAGAAAGAAAAAAAAACCCCAAACAGCCATCGATGGGAAGCATGCAGAAGGTTTTTAGTTGGTTTCTTCAAAGTCTGGACCAAGCCTGATTGCTGTTCAGTATTTTCTTCAGAGACCTGAAAATAATTATAAAGAGATTGATGATAAAACATGAGGATGGCAGAAAGACTGGCAGATTTCTACTGTTTCAGTGCCTTTGGGGGGTCTGGGGTGTTAATGGGCTCTTTAACGTGATCAGGATATGTATACTGAGGAATGCACGGCTGGAAGCTGAACCCAGACAAGCGCAGGTAGAAGACAGAGCATTAACGTTTAACAAGGTGATTGACTAATCATTAGCACAGATACCTACGTACAATTGGGTTTTTCATTGGGAATCTTCAGTTCAGACAGAACGCGGTTTTAGAAGCCGTGCTTTAGTAAAACTCAAGTCATTTGGGTTGGTGGAGAGCAGCTGGCTAACGCTTCCCAGGCCTGGGGGACAGAGGAACTCGGGCTAGGTGATCTAGTAGCAAATCTGGGTTTAACTACCAAGGATCTGTGTGCTTTATAAAGTCAGGGGAGGCAGACATTAAAAAAAAAAAAAAACCAACACTTTTTTTTTTCTTCTTTTTTCTTACTTTTGAAAAATTGTTGTATGGCAGACTGACTTGAAAAGAAATGTGAAACTAAATAAAGGAGTGGAGTAATTCTGGTTCAAGACTTCTACTGCTTCAGGAAATTCTGAGGAGATGGGTTAGCAGCCAGAGTCTTGATGATGTGATCAAAAGCATTTGGTAGAAGCAAAGTAATTTGGAAATTATCATGTGGTTACCATCAATACTGTGTGATGTTTTTAAACATGCACATGCCTACTGCCCTTGGGGACTTTTCATACACTTATGTGTCTCTGCAGTCCTCTTAACTGTATGGTGATTAACTGAAATTATTGGTCATTTTCACTACAGCTATTTTGGTTTATGTTGACTTTTTTTCCTTGTAGTTTGAGTCAGAACAGTGCATATTTTTGAACATGTTGCCCTCTGCTGTGTGGGACAGAAAGGCATAGTTCCTTTTTTCTTTTTTTAAAACAAAACAAAACAAAAACCAAACCCAAACCCCTAAGTACCCATTGAAGCATGTTGTATCACAGCTAAGAAAAGTGATGTGGGTTAGTTTTCAGGGTTTGCGTCATAGCAGCTGGGATGTGAGGGAGGGAGACACTCTCTTTTCTTCCCCCATCTTGGGAGAGCTTCTCTGTTCTCCAGGTTGCCCTTGGAGAGCTGCCGAAGTTAATTGTGCTGCTAGTGGGGATGCAGGACCAGGGAGCAAGCCGTGTAACTGGTTTGGAGTATTCCAGGATGGCTCTGGAAGAAACAGCTCAATGTTCCATGTGCAATGTTGTCACAAAGCTGTTAAAGCTTCCCCTTCATCACTCTTCTTCTTGGTGTTGCACTTTGAGAGGATGAGAAGGGAAGATGCCCACTGTTTACAGGAGGGAGCTTGGGATCACGGTCTCCACACAAAGGTACAGCAGAAGAGATTGGGGTTTAAAACGTTGCTAAATAAGTGGCAGGTGATGGCAGGGCAAGTGGGTTGCTCCCGGCTGTGCTGGTGGAGACCTCTGCACCATCTGTAAATGGGGATTCTGGACTCCGTTAACCTGAAACAAGCCATTAAATGAAACAGTTGGAAAATTTTTTTTTTTTATCTATTTGCCACCT